AAGGCAGAGGGAACAGGGAGCACCTTCCCTGGCTGGCCACAGCACGAGGCCATGTTCCAGGAAGAGTAAATGCGAGAAAGACAGCCAAGGAAGCCTTGGCCTGCCAGCTCCTCCCCACTAGCTCCTCCCACCAGCCCCCACCAGTGCCCCTGCAAACCACAGCCAGCCAACTCCTCCCTGGAGACCCCTGCTCCACCCTAGCAAACCTCAGCTCTTTTCTGACATGTGGCAACTTTCTCCTCCTGTAATATGGTAATACTCCCCTCGCTCTTGCTCCTGTTTCATTGGTTCAGAGCCAAAGTGGTCTTTAAAGGAACAACTCCCATATCCAGCTCCACCCAGATTTCCATCGAGGTCACACTAGAAGGTTTCAGGTGAAGCAAAGACGAGGGGACTTTTTCCTGGGCTGAGAAAGCAGCTTTCCTCCTGCCTGCTCAAGTGAGCAGTTCAGCCTGGGGCCTGGGCGGTAGGTTCCCAAGAGCACAATCTGATCTCTGGGAAGCTGAGCCCTTAACCCTCTGATGCAGGGACAGAGTCCCTTGCAAAGACCATCAGGCATCAGGCTCTGGGCCGTCTAGGGGAGAGTGGATCACACAGCTGTGCTCAGGGCCGGGTGAATTAGAAAATCCAGTGGTCTGGGAGAGACCGCTCACCTCTTAGCAGAGCACCCTTCATTTCCCCTGAGCTGGTAGAAGCAAAAGGCAAACAGAAGCTTGACCTGGTTGGAAACTGGTGAAATGTCAGCTACCATCTGCTGAGTACCTACTAGGTGCCAATCGCTTTGCATGCATAGTCTCGTTTAACTATCACAATCCTACAAAATCCTATTCATCACCATCTCCTATTTTACAGGTGAGAAAACTGAGGCTCGGCAATGCCCAAAGACACACTGCAGGTGGAAAACTGGAATCTTAAACCTAGGTCTGCCCAGGCCTCATCCCCCGGCACCTGCCAGGCTTCCTTCAGAGTCACTGCCCAGGTGCCTGTCCACGCACCATCCAGGAATGGTGCTCCGAGCGTGGGGGTGGACGTGGGTGTGAGTAAGTTTTGCTTGATGGTTCTGGAATCTGAATTGATGCCCCCCCACTATCATTGCTCCAAGTGTATGACTGAGGGCTCATGGAAGTGTGTGTGTGTTGCGAGTGGAGGGAGGTGATATGGATTCCAAACTGCAGTTTCCAACACCAAAGTAATGCTGTAATGCCTCTGATTCATCAAATGAGCTCACAGGCTCACGGTATCCTGAATGTTGCTTCGAATGCAAATGTGGATCCCTTAGTAAGAACTGGGGATTCCAGCACACTCCACCTAGTCCCAGCCTGGTGCGATTTCATTCAGCCCTGCACAGTCAGAGCGCTAATGTGCCGAAGCAGCCCCTCCAACGCAACCACTAGCTGCACTTCCTGTGGCCTGCAGTGAGTCAGGGAAGAAGACCCCAAAGGTCACATGAAGGGTGCCACCCTGGCCTGGCAGAAGGAAATACCCAGGTGAGCAGATCCCCAGGAAGAAGGCTCTACACCTCTTTCACCCTGAGGTCCTCTTGGAGTCAGGGGGACCAGGACATATCTTTCAGAAGGCCAGCTGCAGGGCAGGACCAGTGATCTGGGTTTACCAGCTGCAGAATTACCCACGGTGGACAGACCCCTTTGAAACCAATGCTGCTGTGTGAGGAGGTCCCTGCAGCAGGGACTCACTCAACCCCAAGTCGAAGTCCACAATTTTTTGATGTGTTCGATTAACACTCATGTGTTCAATTAACATGGACTACTAAACACCTACTAGGAACCAGGCATTGTGAAAATAATACAGAGCTCACACCAGTACAGAGACTAATATAATACTGAAATGGGCTTTAGGCATCTATCAATAACTCAAATTGCATGGCAACTCTATGAAGGAAATACAGAGACCCTAGCTCCAAGTCTGTGCTTTGGAACACCACACTACAGTATATACGCAAGTACCTAAGCTGGAAGTCAGTATTTGGCAGAAGGTTGAGGCTGTCAGAAGTGGCGTTTGAAACAGGACTAAAAGGATAAGCAGATATCCCCTAGCTACTTGTGACTTTACTTATTTATTTATTTATCTACTCGATTTGCTAGAGTACATATGCACTAGCTGGACACATAGAGAAACAGGGAAAGTGAGAAAGCATCCCTCCTGGGTGAGGGTCACATTGCAATCCCTTTTCCATTTCTCCTCTAGGGATTTGGGGCACATATGCTTTTCAAGCTGTCAGGTCCAGGACTCGAACTGCACAGTAGGCCATGTGGAATCCGGCTACCTGAATCACCATGCCACCAGCTGGCCCATTTTTGTGGCCATTTTTACCCCACCATGTGCAAAGTTTCTTCCAGGAGAGCCAACTGCAAGGATGAGGAAAAAGATTCCTGGACTGGGCCCATTCTCCTTCCAGGACATTATGCCAGGTATCCCCTGCCCCCATCTACTCTCCTCTTCTCTCAGAGGTCTTGGTACCTGGGCAGCCGCAGGAGGCCCTCAGCTAAATCCTTAACTGTGTGCTATCCCCCACCCCACATTTCTTAAAAGCAGCAGCCTCCCCTCCACCACAAAGGCTGGAGCTATTTTTAAAATCCACATTTAAAAGTTAAAACTTATAGTTGGCAATCTGTCTGAGATGGGGAGAGGGGCTGACGGAGCCATGGGGACAGGGGGTTCTATGGTGTTTTGCAAAGCAAGCACTGGCAGTGGGCTGGCCATCTTCAAGCAAGCCTTATGACCTAGAAGGTGTCCTCCAGGTTCTTTACCCCCTTGTCCCCTGGGAGCTACACACAGCACAGTGACCAGCCAGAAGCCAGTCCAATTAGAGGGGAGACTACACCAGGGCCACGCAGTGAGATGGTTTATCACAGTAATTGAATGTTTACATCCCTATTATTCACCATCCAGAGCAGTAGGAAAAAGAATTTATGCACCCATTAAATTTCCATCCCAGGAAGATTTCTCCTACCCTTGGTCTGGAAGCCATGCAATACCTATGGAAAGGGTAATTCTCTAATTCTAAAGGGGCACGTGCCACACCTTCCCTGGGAGCTCTGGAGCAAAACAGATGGTTTCCTCCTTCAGCTAGGCCCCCCAGGGAGAGCTGCTGTTCTCCCTCCACATCACCAGGCCTCCAGATTCAATCCTGAAACTACAGGAACCAGGAGAGCCCAGGCCTCCAGGCCAGGCTCCCTCTGCTGGAGCAACCCAAGCCTCCCCTCCCCCCAGTCACAGCTGCCAACAGAGATCCCCTGCACACACGTGCCACAGCGGCCTCCATGGCCAGCCAGGGCCAGCACACTTACCCACCTCGCCGCCCCTAGCCTGAGAACAGGCCAGCAAACAAGTCTCACTTGGGATAGTGGGAGCAGAAGCCACCAAAGTTGTGACGAACAAAGTTGGAAATGGGGCAACTTCCCCTTTCTTCCTTCCAGCGGCTACCGGTGCAGATTGGGCAGGGAGTCTCAGCGGGCCCCCAGTTTGAGTGGCAGGCACCTCCTCCAGGCCTTTCTTGCAGCCAAGGCTTGAAAGTTCCAGGACACACCAGGTTCCTCTGCCTCCCCGGGCCCTGACCCAGAGGTCTGGGCGGAGGCCCTGCGAGGGGCAACCTGGTGCACATGTTCCTGCATGTGTGACTCGCGAGGAGGACATGACTAGCGCCACCAAGCCCGCCATATGCAGGTCCCAGGCATAACCCAGGTTCCAGCGTTCCCGACCCGCACTAGCCTGCCCAGCACCCGGCGAGGCGCGGCGCGGGCGTGCGGGGGCGGGCGTGAGGTATGACAGGTCTGAGGTGCGCGGGGTGAGGCGGCTCTACGCTCGCCCGCCCGCGCTCCACGCTCCAGCCTAGGCCTCCGCTGCACTTGCCCCAGTTCCCTGCCACCCCTGCACCCCTGTTCCCACACTCGCGGCGCCGTCGCTGTGTCCGTGTCCACTTTCCCGTGCACGCTGGGAGGGGAAGGGCTCCCGCACCCAAGCCCCATAAATCCGGAGCTCCTCGCCCGGCCTCGCAGGCCCAAGCTCGGTCAGGCGGGCGGGTCCCTGCGGACACCACATTTCGCTCAGACGGAGGAGGAGCAGCCGTATTCCTGAGCCGCCGCCGCTGTGGGCCCGCGCGGGTGGGGGGGGCG